AATGGATTTCACCCCAGCGTCCTTCCCTCCCCTCCCCTCTCCACTCCTTCCCTCCCATTCCCTCCCTTCCCCCTCTCCTCCCTCCCCTCCCCTCTTACCCATCCCTTCTCTCTTCTTTCTCTCTCCTCTCCCCTCCTGCCCTACATCTTTCCTTCCTCTTCCCTCCCTTCCCCCTTTCCTCCCCTTCCCTCCCTTCCCCCTCTCCTCCCCTTCCCTCCCTTCCCCCTCTCCTCCTTCCTTCCTCCCTTCTACTTCCTCTTCTCTTTCTTTTCTTCTCTCTCCTCCCTCCTGCTCCCACATTCTTCCTTCCTTCCTCCTCCCTCCCTCCTCCCTTATATATATATATATTATTGCCAAACAAACAAATGAAAAAAACTAACCTAACCAAAACAACAACATTAACATAAACAAAAATAGCAACAACAACAACAATATAACCATTAAGGCCTAACTATCCAGACACTATTCTTAATTAACAGAATAGTTCAGCCACTCACTATCCTTTCTCCAGCCTTCCACTCTCCTCCATCCTCCTCCTCCTCCATCCATCCCTTACCTCCTCCACCTCCTCTCCTCCTCCACCTCCTCTCCTCCTCCTTCTCCATCCACCCCTTTCCTCCTCCATCTCCTCTCTTCCTCCTCCTCCATCCAATTTCTCCTCCACCTCCTCCTCCTCCATCCACCCCTTTCCTGCTCCACCTCCCTCCTCCTCCCTCCTCCTCCACCCAATTCTCTCCTCCTCCAAGCGACTCCCTGATCGTCCATTTCATTGACTTTTCTTTTTATCCTTTCTTCATCGATAACTTTTAACAGTCAACCATAACCACAACCCTACCACCTTCCCACCACAACAACCACACACCACAACATAACCCTCCCTCCCTCCGTCCCCTCCACCACACCAAGACAACAGCTCACACCAGGATACAGAGGGCAGTAATCTCCCGGTAATAAAGAGAACTGCCGCCACCAACCAATGGGCCGGAACACCACACAGCTCCTGTACAAAAGACTCTTAATCAAGCGAGAGTACAAGTTAATCGATGATGGAATTTCAAGCCTTCAATGATGTGAGTTTTCTTAGTTTGAACATTAAGGGAGGCGCCACACTCCCCTTTCCTTACCTCCCTCTCTCATTTCCCTCTCTCCTTCTATTTTTCTATCCTCTCTCCTCCTACCCTCCTTTTCTTCCTCTCTCCTCCCACCTTCCCTCCTCCCCACCTCCCTCTTCTCTCCCACCTCCCTCCCTTTCTCCCCCTCCCTCTCCCCTCCCATTTCCCTCTCCTATCCTCTTCTACCTCTCTCCTTCCCTCCTAGTTTGCTGTTGTTGTTGTTGTCTGTGAATAGTTTTTAGGGAGTAGAGAAGGGTGAAGGAAGGTTAGGGAGGGAGGGAAGAAAAGGGAGAGTGAGGGATGGAAGGAAAAGGAAAGGAAGGGTGGGTAGAACGGGGAGACAGAACTCAGACAGGTGAATGAAGGGAAGAAGGGAAGAAGGGGTAAGGGGGTAGGAAGAAGAGGGATGGAGGGTGATAGAGGGGAAAAGGGGAGGGAGTGAAAAGAAAGAAAGGGAAGGGAAGGGCAAGAAGAAGAGGGAGGGGGAGGGACAAAAATGAGAAGGAGGGGGAAGGGAAAGAAGGAGAGGGATGGAAATGGGCACGAATGAGAGTGAAGGGGAAGGGGGAGGGGCAAGAAGAAGAGGAAGGGAAAGGAGGGCAAGAAGAAGAGGAAGGGGAAGGGGTAGGGGCAAGAAGAAGGGTAAGGAAGGGGAAGGGGGCCATTTGAAAGGTCTTGAAGGCTCAATACGAACACCTTTATGTGTGCTACGTTATCGACTTCAGATTTCAGAATGATGAAGCTCCCACATACAACCATCAACATTCACTGTAATATTCGGGACCTTCTAAACATCAAAATATCAAAGAATCGGAGTTTCCCCACATTCGAATATCCGGTATTTGAATGTTCGGAAACTTGGCAAATTTCCCTGTGTCCGGATTTGCCGCTGTGAATATTGCTATTAGGAGGAGGACAGATTTGATTACCGGGAGTTGTAATTGGATTTAGAGACGTATCGATATGACTTAATGGAGAATTTCGTTTTATCGACGTCCCTATTTTTACTGTTGGTGTTAACTCCCAATTTATAACACAGGCTTCCTTTCTCTATTATATACAGTATATTATTGATGGTAGTCCCAATTTAACACACTGACACCCCCATTACCACCAATTTAACACACTGACACCCCCATTACCACCAATTTAACACACTGACACCCCCATTACCATCAATTTAACACACTGACACCCCCATTACCACCAATTTAACACAATGACACCCCCATTACCACCAATTTAACACAATGACACCCCCATTACCACCAATTTAACACACTCAATCTTTCGTTTATGTCATTTCATCGTTGACTGCTCTTCCCCCATCATACACAGGGACAATTTAACGTACGGGCCTTTGAGAATCCATCCACGTAGCTTCAGTGTGAAAGAGAAGACGCTCTGTAATATCTCTAAACTTAGGATAGAAATTTTAACGTAAGAATCTTTGAGAATTCTGCACCTTTGTATCGTACATAGCTCAACTAAGACAGTTTAAGATAAATTGTCTTATTTCTATAGCAGGGTGGGTAGGGTGGCAGGGTGGATGGGGTGGCAGGGTAGATGGGGTGGCAGGGTGGATGGGGTGGCAGGGTGGATGGGGTGGCAGGGTGGATGGGGTGGCAGGGTGGATGGGGGTAGGGTGGGATGGGGTGGCAGGGTGATGGGGGTGGCAGGGGTGGATGGGGTGGGTGAGGGGTGATGGGGTGGGTGAGGTGATGGGGTGGGCAGGGTGGATGGGGTGGTGCAGGGTGGGATGTGGGGTGCATGGTGGGTGGAGGGCAAGGTGGGTGGGGGGTGGCAGGGTGGGTGGAGGGCAAGGTGGGTCGGGTGGCAGGGGTGATGGGGTGGGCAGGGGTGGATGGGGTGGCAAGGTGGGTGGGGTGGTAAGGTGGGTGAGTGGCAGAATGGGTGGAGTGGCAGGGAGGGAATTAACTCCTTGATTACAAAACTTTGGATCACTTTCCAACCCATTATTGGAAATTTTCCCCAAACCTCTTGATCTTTATTATCACACGTCTTCATCCTCCTAGAAAATGGGGAATAATCAGCCTTATAGAAAATGGGAATTGACGACCTCTTAGAAAATGGGAATCAACATCTTTTTAGAGGAGGGTAAGTCAAGGTAGTGTACCCCCCTCCTCCCCCTCCAACAAGAGGTCACGTTTCTCCTCTCATGGATTTGCTGACCTGACCACCTCCCCTCCCTCCCCCTCTCTCTCTCTCCTCTCCTCCTCCTCCTCTCTTTTCTTCTCTTCCTCTTCCTTATATTTTGATTTGTATCTTTCATCTTCTCTTTTGTTTTCTTCCTTCCCGCTAGTTGCTATTTCTTGCGTTCCTTCTTCAATCTTGTTATCATTCTTATCCCTTTTCTTCCTTTCTCTCCTCTACAATCTCTTGTCTTTTCCCTTTTCTCTCCCCTTGTTTCATCCCCTTCTCTCTCTCTCACCTAATTATCTCCTTCCCAACCTCCCCTTTCTCTTTCTCCTTTTCCTTAATTTGTTCTTTTATCCTCTCCTTCTTCTCTCGTTTCCCCTAATCATCATCGTTTTCTTTATTTATCGCTTTCTCTTCTAAGTACTGATCCCTCTCTGTGTGTCTTTATCTCCCCTCTATCCCATCCCCTCTTCCCTCTGTTCCTTTCTCCCCTTCTCCCAGCACCACGTCTTTCCCTCGTCTCCTCCTCCACCTCTTTTGTCCTTACCTCTCTTCCTCCTCTCCTCTTCCTCTCCCCTCATCATCATTTCCCTCCCTCTTCATTTCCCCCCCATCTCCCTCTGTCACCTCCCCTCACCTATCCTTGTCATCTCCTCTCAACTCCTCCTAAAAGTCTCCCCTCGCCTCCCCTCACCTCTCTCTCTTCCTCTGTCCTTACCTCACTCGTCACCTCCCCTCATCTCCCCTTATAACTCCCTTCACTATTCTCCCTCATCTCCCCTTGTCATTCTTCACTACCTCCCCTACCACCCTCCTCACCTCCTTCCCCCCCCTCTCTGTTCCCACTCTCAAAGACTGGATGTCACAGCTGATAAGACAGGCAGTCAGACCATTAACCCGCTGTTCTCTTAACCAACCAACGTCGCTGCTCACAGTTAACTACCCGAGGCTTATAAACCTCAGTCCTAGTAGGCACTCTGTTCTATTAGTCCCTAATTCTAGTAGGCCCTAGTTCTAATAGGCCAACAGTTCTAGTAGGCCCCACCCCAGTAGGCCCCAGTCTTAATAGGCCCCAGTTCTTACTTTTCACCAGTATTGTCTACAGGAGGATGAGTGGGAGGAAGATGAGGGGGAGGAGGAGGGGGGAGGAGGAAGAGGATGCAGAGGAAGAGGAAGGAGGAGGAGGATGGGGGAGAAGAGGGGATGGTGGAGGAAGAGGAAGGGAGGAGGAGGATGGGGGGAGGAAGAGAAGGAGAAGAGAGAAGAGGAGGGGAAGGAGGAAGAAGAAGGGGAGGAAGGAGAGGGGCGGGAGGAAGAGAAGGGGGAGGAGGAAGAGAAATTGGTCAAATGGAGAAGGAGGAAGGTAGATCAAGAGGAAGGGAGGAAGAAGGAAGAGATGTCATTCGATGGAGCTAACACACTGATTCGAAGGGAGAGGTAAGAGAAAAGAGGAAAGAGGAGGGGGGGGGAGAGGAGAGGGTAAGGGGGAAAGTAGGGAGTGAGTGTTAGGATCTTAAGGTGATGTCCCGGGGAGATTATTGCTCAGCCTTCTCATAACCTAATCTCCCTTGCCCCCCTATTCTCCCTCATCTTACTCTCCCTCACTGTATTCTCCCTCACCCTACTCTCCCTCAGCACACACACACCCATCACTTTCCACCCATTCTCTTCACTAACTCCCACACTCACTCTCACTCTCCCTACCCTCACTCTCACCGTTCCTCTCCCCTCCATTTCTCCAGAGAGAGAGAGAGAGAGAGAGAGAGAGAGAGAGAGAGGATGATGAAGGGTAAAAGGAGGGTGGAGGAGGGTGAGAGTTGGAGGGAGGGAGGGAGGGAGGGAGGGAGGGAGGGAGGGTTGAAAGGGAGGGAGTAGTGGGACGGAGTGAGAGTCGGAATTGTGGGCAGTGTTAAAGGAAGGAAGGAAGGAAGGAAGGAAGAATACACCTAGTGAATTCAAACTCACTTTACCTGATATAGCAAAGCCGGAGAAGCCAACAGCGATGGTGAGGGAGGTAATGGCGACCCTGGTGTCTCTACTGAAGGCGGTCACCATCAGGAATATCGCCTCCATCCCGAAGCCGCCACAGTTGAACAGCTTCCTCACAGTCGTCGTTGACATGATTTTGTTCTTACGGAAGTAGTCGGCAAGTTGACCCCCGAACGGCACTATGATGGCCATGACCAGGTGAGGCAAGGCCGAGATGGTCCCGCTCTGTGGAAGGAAGGAGGGAAGGGAGGGAAGGAAGGAGGGACGACGTGATAAGGCAAGTAGGACTGAAGATGACCTCACATGACCCCCCAGATGACCCACAGAATAAAAAAACAGAGATGAAATTAGAATCTACCCCCAGGCGACGAACCTTGGCTATATCGTATTCGAAGACCTCCTTGAAGTACTGAGGTTGTGAGATGATGAGGAGGTAGAAGGTCCACGAACGGGCGATGTTGGCCACGACGATCGCCCACACTGGCATCGAGGTGGCGAACGCTCTCCAGGGTGTCGTGGAGAATGTGGGCTGCTTAAACCGCTATGGTGGTGGTGGTGGTAGAGGGGCAGGTCAGTCGTGTTATCCTATTCACTCAACCTAAACCTAACGTAACTAAATTAAATCGACACACCAACTTTTAATATATAAATCTTCATAAAAAAAAACTTGGTTGTGTTTTTTCTACTCGGGAAGAATGTCTCATTAAATAATTCCCTCTTGGAGAATGACCTCGTCAATAATAACCAAACATCATAAATGACTTGATTGAGATGCCAAAAAAAAAAACATTGGTAAACGCAACATTAGTAAAACGCTTAGATTAAAACCTACCTAAAAAATCAGCCAACATCGTTCATATACAGAAGCACACCTACTCATGGGGGTGTCAACAGTTAGCTATGCTGAGGCCTTACCTGTTTACCGAGACTCTCCTCAATGTACTGCTGCTCTCTGGCGCTGATGGTGGGATGGGTCGCTGGCTTCTCAAACGCCAACCAGTACCAGAAGAACCCCCACGTGACACCAACCATACCTGTGTGTGTTGAAGGTGTTAGTGATTGACCCCAACCCCTTGTTTATATAACAGTCACAACCACCTACAGTAATAATCACAGAGCCTCAACTTACCGAAGAAGTAGAAGGGTGCGGGCCAACCTATTCCCTCCGTGAGCCAGGCAGAGACAGGCATACCCACGACGGCGCCCGCGTAGCTACCACATAAGGCCAAGGTAGCGAGCCTCGACCTCTCCAGCGGCGGTGCCCAGTTCCTCCAGATGCCGTGACACGCAGGGTACGTCACACCCTTGAGGGAGAGACAGTGTTAGACGGAGGAGGAAGAGGGTGTTTAAAAGAGAGAGGGAGGGTGGTGTAAGGAAGAAGGAAAAGTGAGGGGGGTGGAGGAAGGAGACGTGAGGGTGGAAGGAGGCTTGGGTAGGGGTGGAGGGAATGTGATGGAGGACTAAGACAAGGTGAGACAGCGTAATGGAGGGGAAGTAACATGGACGGGAATTGGAATAGACGAGGGGGGGCACGGACGGGAAGGGGCATGGACGGGAGGGGGCACGGATGGGAGGGGGCACGGACGGGAGGGGGGCACGGACGGGAGGGGAAGGCGGGCAGGAAAGCGGCCCTCTGGGAGCCAACGAGCCCGGCTTTGTCCCACACACGTTCACCAACACAATGCAATATTGATGTGTCTTCCCTCCCTCCCTCCTCCCTCCCTCCCTCCCTCCCTCCCCCACCCTTCCTCACCCACCATGATCTCTCTCTCTGTTAATTCCTTACTCAACCTTTTACACTACACCTAACCCAGTCTACCTCCACTACCATCTTATCTACCCTCAATTTCATCTCAGCTACCTGTACAGCCATCCCACTTACCACTACCACCACAACTACCACCATTCTAGCTACCACCGCCACCACCGTCCAACTACTACCACCGCCATCCCTCTATCACAACCACCATTCCATATACCACTACCACCACCCACCTATCACCACTACCACCATCCATTTACCATCATCCCCACCACTCCATCTACCACCACCACCACCATTCTATCTACAACTACCACCCCCACCCCCCCATCCACCACCATCGCTAAATTCATCTTACGTCTCCATTAACGAAGAAAATTTAACGAAAAAAGTCTTTGCGAATCCCAGCTTACGTGTGGCTACTGTCAAAACACGTCCGTGACAAGTTACGACATAGGGTGCTCTCTCTCTCTCTCTCTCTCTCTCTCTCTCTCTCTCTCTCTCTCTCTCTCTCTCTTACACACGCACACACATGAAACCAACCCTTCAACTGTAAAGCAACAACTCACGCTGGCTAAGGAACGTCCACCACTACTAAACACAAGTAATCGATTTTCCCGCTCCAAAAAAAGACCCCTGCCTCATAATGATCCCTGGGCGCGCGTCAAAAATTCGAGACGAGTTTTATACATGAATTTTATGACTGGTAGCGGGGAGGGACAATCACATTCCTCCCCCCTTGTTAGACACCAGTTAACCCTGTCCTGCCGTCACACCCCTCAAGGTTTCCCGCGCTTTTTTTGTTTACGTTCCCCATGTTTATATTTTTCTTGATTTCCCGCGCTTTTTTCTTTACGTCCCCAATGTTTATATTTTTTCTTGTTATCCAGATTTTTTGGCGGGTTTTCTTATGTTTACATTTTTTACATTTGTATTAAGCTGTAAATAAAACCAATACGTTTCTTATTAGGTTATAAATTATACCTACAATTTACATTTTCTGTAGTATATATAAGAACTAGGGGTCGCTTCTCCTTCCACTGTAAATAAAACCTAGAAACAAATCAGTAAATTGTAAAAGCTACACAAAAACCTCAGTAAACTGTAAATGGATGTGTAAATCAATGAGACATGGTAAATTAGGGATGGAGAGAGGCGTGAATAAATGCGACACGAAGAATGTACAGAGGAGAGAGGAAGAGCAGAGGAATGTTGAGAACAGTTAACAGCAACCAGTGAATGAGGGAGGGAGGGAGGGATAAGGGAGGGAGGGAGGGAGGGATAAGGGAGAAGATAGGGAGAGTTTTTAGATGGAAGAAGGGACGAAAAGGGGGTGGTTATACGAAAGATGGATGGAAAGGAGGAAGGGAGACGACCTGAAGGGAGGAGGAAGGGAGAAAAGAGAAGAGGGAGGTGGAGAGAGGAGTGAGAGGGGAAGGGGGATGAGAGATGGATAGAGGAAGAGGATATAGAGATGGAGAGAGGTAAGGATAAAAGGGAGAGGAATTAGAAGAAGCAGGAAGATAAGGTATAGAGGAATGGAAGGGTGAAGGAAAAGGGGATTAAACAAGGAGTGAGGGAATGGTAAAGAGGCGAATAGAGGGAGGAAAAGAAGGAGGAAGAAATGAGGGATGAAGGAAATGCGTGGATGAAGAGAAGGGACAGATGGAAGGGAGGGAAAACAGAAAGGAGTAAAGGGGAGAGGGGGGGAAATAGGGATGAAGGGAGGGAAAGAAAGAAGGGTGAAGGAAAGGAGGGAGGGAAGGTAGAGAGAGAGAGAGAGAGAGAGAGAGAGAGAGAGAGAGAGAGAGAGAGAGAGAGGAGGTGTAGGCGCCACGGCCACAATGAGGTGTTGGGTTGGGGACAAATGGAGCGTCGCCCCACAAGACAGCCAGTGAGAGGGTGGTCCTTCTTCACCGCCACCCCCCTGCCCCCACCACCACCCCCTCATTTTCTACCCCCACCCCTCTAATTCTCTACTACACACCCCTCAGGTCGTTTTCCACTGACTGTTTTATTTTTATTGCCAATTGTTAATCTCACTATAATAGTATGTAGGTTAACATGTTCAGTGGTGGCAGGGGGGGGGGCTGTATTTAAAGGTGTTAAAATACTCCCCCTATTCCGTTTCACCCCCCTTCCTTCTACCCCTTTCCCTTCCTCCACTCCCTCCCCTTCCCGAAATTTAGAAAAAAAAATATCTGAAAATATTCATTAAAAGAGAGCACTTTATTTAATTGATCACATTATAACACTAACGATAACAATTAGTGGTTGAGTTTACCTAATTACAATAATAACCTTACCTGTAATTACTGTACTCTCTCCCCGAAGAAAAAAATAGTGATATTTTCTCTTAAATCTTAACTCTATAGTAGTCGTAATTATGGTTGTTAATCCTAGAAAAAAATATTCGTGTTTAAATATTTTTTTGTTTACTCTGACACACCTGTAATTACCGTAAGCTTTAATGCAAGGTATTTATAGGTGTAATAATAATAACAATACGGTGTATCTCCTCTCCTCGCCTACCTTCCCTTCCCTTCCCCTCACCTCTCCCTTTTCCTTCCTTCCTTCCTTCATCCCTCTTCCTTCTCCGCCTCTCTTCTTTCCCCTCCTTTTTCCTTCCTTCCTTCACCTCTCCCTCTTTCTTCACGCCTCTTAATCGCATCCACCCCCCCCCACTTCTTTCACCCCCATCCTTTCCTTCACCCACACCCCTTCCTTCACCCACACCCCTTCCTTCACCCACACCCCTTCCTTCACACCCCATGGTCGTGATGGTGGTTATGGTGATGCCGGTGGTGTAGGTGGTGAGGTATGGTAGTTGGTGTGATGGTGATCTGTGGTGGCGTGAGTTCTCTCAGCACTGGGGCCCACCAGGACTGGGGCCCAATAGGACACGGGGGGGGCCTCTATTCTGACTGAGCTCGAGTGGCGATGGTCTCACTGTATCGAAGCCTCAGGAAGCATCGATTAGTTACGAGACTGAGATTAAGAGAGAGAGAGAGAGAGAGAGAGAGATCTTTAGAGAAGATTATAAGAGATTGAGAGGAACCGAGAAATACCAGACCTACTGTACACCCAAGTCCTGACAGCCCCAGCCATATCAGCCCCCTATCCTAATACACCTAAGTCCTAAGACCCCCAGTCCTAATAGACCCCAGTTGTAATAGACCCCAGTTCTGACAGCCCCCTCCAGATCACTGCTCCAATACCCGGAGTCTCAGACGTTCTTAAGTAAAGTCACTCCTGTAATGGAAGACGTGAGGACGCATCTAACTGACCCATTTAAAGCTGCAGCGCCATTAGAGTTGGGCTGTCCAAAATGGCGTCAATATTGCACAGGGACTCTCTTATACCTGGTCACGAACTCTACCACAGCCAGGTCACGAACTCTACCATAGCCAGGTCACGAACTCTACCACAGCCAGGTCACGAACTCTACCA